ACCTCTTGGCTATCTCTCCCGCAATCTACTTACAACATACAGCCTCCACTTTAATAGGCAGGGCAAGAAGAAAATTGCATGCATGGTTAGGAACATAATACATCCACGATCCCAAGAAACTGATGGTGATAACGCCCGATTATTCCATGAAAACCGTGTTGTTCTAAAAGAGGAGGACATGAAACATATCTTTGATCAATAACATATAACATATCACAATCAATTGGTTGTGTTGCTAGCCTAGTGGTTAGCGTCTCGGACTTCGGTGCGGGAGGGACGGGTTCAATCCCCGGCACATCCACTTAACATTTATCTCTCGTAACTCTCTCGTGAAATGCCACTGACATTGAAAGAAAAAAAAAAAAATAATAATGATTCCTCAGTAGCCTTTGCCCACACGATTTCAGGTTATTTCAGCAGTAATGGCCATATGTAGCTGTTATATTTACGAAAACTTTCGGAAGACCTTCACAAAATGATTTAGTGAACAGCAATTTGACGTCCCAAGTTTCAAAGAAAGGAGCTACTGTGTTTGCTTTAGCAACGAAGCCTGTATATTATGGGAAGCCCAAGTATGAGGATTACACACAAGCTTTTTTACAACAGAGGGACCACTTTAAATAAAGGAAACTAAAAGTACATATTTTGATTACATATTATCCAAAGTTGATGTGTTCTCCGATGGGCTGTGTCTGGGATAAAATAGAACTACAACAATTTGTCTCCTGTCTTGTGAATTTTCATAACCAAACTGAAGCGAAGATCATAATTGTTAATTGTTGAGTAGGCCTAGTAAGAAACGGATTGTCTCATGAGGCTTATGTCAAGAGATTACATCAAGAAATCAACAAACGTACAACACCTACCAACTTCAAATTATCACTTGGAAATAAAAGATGGTTCTTTCCAAGTTCCATCATCTCACAAAGACAGTTCTACAGACACTTCTGATTTGGAAAACATGTCAATCTTCCCACCCCTCAACACATCTCAACATAATTATGATCAACATGAGTATAACAATCAAAGTGAAGTGAGTGTAAGTGCAGAGAAGAGTAAATGTGCTTCGGAGTGTTTACATAAACTGCCAAAGACTCTCATTTCTGGCAGCAATGATGGTAATTTTTTATAGAGAACCAGACTGGGCCAGCAAGAATTACCAATCCCTCCTCTTTACCTATTAATTTACCTATTAAATACACTACAGAGTTGAGTTATTTTTTCCAACTTCCTGAAATTTGATTTTTTGATAATAACAATATTCTCTGTAAGTAGTGTTAAGTTTAATATTGTGTTTTTATAACTGACTCCATTCTGTACAAAATGTGCAATATGAATAAAGTTATTTTGATTGATTGACTAATGTTAAAAGTCCAAATAAAATAACAATTCTACACCAAACCATTCAGCACTTCTCTTCTCGAAATTTTATCATTAGAAATTGTTTTAGAAGAAATCATGCCTGAACTTGTTGTCATAAGTGAACACAAATTAAATAAAAATGTAATCCCTCATGCATCTATAGCAAATTACAAAACTACAAACTATTACTGTAGAAAATCATATCTTGGAGGAGGGGTCATGATTCTTGCTCGGAATAGTTTGGCCATAAAAAGTAAAAAGATACCTGAGTTGAGGATATGTTGGCAGATAAACTTTGAATGCTGTTTGAAGTAAATACGTAAATATTTTCTTTTTTATTAATCGGAGTAGGCCTATATAGAACACCAGGAATTCAATTTGAGACTCAAGAAAAATTATACCGTACAACAGATATGACAGCGACCAAAGGAGCATAGAATTGGAGGAGGAGGATTGAAAGTAGCATAGAAAAAAATAACAAATAATGAGATTAAAGAAAATTCATTTCACAACGATGAATTTAAATTAGTTATAGACCAAATCCTAAAGATTTTAGTGAAGTTTTTAATGAGTAGGCCTATTTTATAAGTGTTGTTGACAATGACAGTTGTCATTCTACCCTAAACTAAATAATCATCTAGACAGTTAGTCCGAAAGCTAATTCCAAATAATGTATCAAAATTCCATATAGGCTATTAAAACCTTTTTTTGAAACTGAACTCGAGCAAAAAATGTCTTATTTTGATAACAAGTTCACTTCCGGTTATGATGAAATTCCAATGCCCATGGTAAAAAGTTCTAAAAATTTATGGATTACTAAAACCCAGGTACATATTAGCCTATTAACTCTTCTTTCATTTCTGTAATTTTTACAAATAAACTAAAAATTTCCAGATTCAAAACCTTACACAAAAATGAGAAAAAAAACAGAACCGTCAAATTACAGACCTTTACCAGTATTGCCTACCATATCTAAGCTCTACAAACTTGCAATGCACTCCCAATTGGTAAGTTTTTTTTTTAAATAATCAATTTTTTGACGATGAACATGGTTTTAGGTCTGGAAAATTTACAACAACTGCTGGTATTGATCTAGTTGAGACTCTTATTGATGCTATTGATAGCGGTGACAACTCTGGAATTTTCATGGACCTTAGTAAAGCATTTGATAGTGTTTCGCATCAGACTCTTATTTCAACGATTTTCAACATTTTGGTATTAGGCCTACTGGTAACTCACTAAAATGGTTTAAATCATATTTAGAAAACAGGCAGCAATATGTTGAACTACGATTACAGAATTCAATCAATTACTTATCAGTCAAATCATCTCTAAAACAAGGCCTAAATATGGAGTCCCTCCGGGGTCTATTCTTGGTCCAATTCTATTCCTCTGTTACATAAAAGGCCTGCCTTCAGCTCTAACGAACTCAAACACTAAATTATGCTTCTATGCTGATGATACAAATTTAATAGTTTCTGGTAGATCAAAAAATGAAATTGAATATATAGGCAATAGTAGCCTTGAATCTATATATGAATATTTATCTTGCAAAAACGTATTGCTTTTAAAACTCAGAGAAAACCAATTACATAAAATTGTTCAACTGCCCAAAAAATACCTCAATTTGGTACTACATGTCATACAACACTAGGCCTGGCAGATGTGCGTTAGCACTCATCTCCCAAGCAACATTGTTAGTCATCTGAGCTGAGTAAATTTTTTTTAGTGGTTTACTGAGTAGGCCTATACTGTAGTGTTAAAACCTCATTTAAAAATTGATAACAATTTATTAGCTCAAGTGATTCAAACTATATTCTTATAACTTTTTAAGGCTATTGCATATTTTTAGAACCAACTTGTAAAGTTGAAACAGCTGACTAAATTCTTTAATTCCCTTTAAATATGAATAATCAATTAATAAATAATTAATTGATGGTTATGCACAAAGTTAACATGGGGAACTACAGAGCCACTGGGGCAGAGCCCGAAAGGATTTTTGATATAAGAATACGCCTAAATGTTAATCGGGAATGTGAGCTATCATCATGCCAAATTTTAGCCAAATCCGTCCAGTAGTTTATGCGTGATTGAGCAACACACAAACTTTCAGATTTATAATATTAGCCTAGTAAGATTTGTACCTACAAATTTTAAATGTGTAGCCTATATTTCTTGAATAAAGTGTTTCTGAATCTGAATCTAAATATAACCAAGATAATTAGCCTACAATAACTAGTCTCAATTATATGCACAGTAACTTAAACAATGTTTGGTTATTACAACCTTGCATATTATTATTAGGTAGGCCTACTCTCCTTGCCAACAATGGAGTAACAGGAAACAGGTAGGCTATTATTTTGTTGTGTGATATGTAAGTGGTACACCGGATAAGTTACATAAAACGGTGAAGTTTCCTTACCTACCAAAACATAACTTAGTAGGTTCCAAAACTTAATGTAGGCCTGGTTAAAAACACTTAGCTATAGGAAATCCTATCCATTTTCTCTTAAAATTGAAACCGTTTAACTTATGGCATATCCTGTCGCAATGAACGCACAGTGGGCCTACCTTGGATAGTAAAAATAAAAGCAAGCAAATTTAAGCTAACTAGGACCATAGATAAAACATACTCCCTTAGTATAGATTTCTCATCCTTATGGAACAGCTGAAGACAATTTTATTGTTAGTTCATGTACGGTTTATGTAGAGGTCGTGTTTTGTTTACAATTTGTTTCCCGTTATTACAGCCATTTAAAACCTCATTTAACCAAATAATACGATCTAATCATAAACAATAACTTGTCCCCTAGTTATATAACCAAACAGTTAAGCACAAATCAAGAAATTAACCCTAAAATAATGGAAACAAAGTTTCATTGACACTAGCACCTTTGTGTCACTTACATGAACTAGACACGAAAAACGTGCTTCAAAATTTACAATGGGATGAGAAGTCTACTTGTGTTGGTTAGTCTATGCTAGGACCGTTAAAGATAATTAGTTTGAATTCCACATTAAGTTATTCTTAATAATTTCATCACTAGGGCCTAAAGTGACTCTTTTTGACATGATGAGGTCAAGTTTTAAAACGGAAAACTCGTAAAATGAGCAAGGGTCACTTTTTTGCCTTGTGGTGAACTCAATTTTTTATAATATTTCATAGGTAACTTAATTAAACAAAAAGCTAGAAAACAAAATAGGCTAATTTATATGTTAATATAACCTCTCAGAACGACTTTCAGCTTGTTTTCAATTTTGCTAATGCAAATAAGCAGTTGTTTAGTAAGTGATCCAATCATTTTGTCTATTAGGCCTAAACGAGTGTGTTACAGTTAGGAACTTACATACCTACCATCGATATGTCGAGCAATCGACAACAATAGACTAAGACCTTACCTAATAAATCAATCGATAAACAAATTTAGATCGATAAGTTACGATTGCCACAATCGAAATTTACAACTATTTGAATAGCAGATTTTTACTCCCTAGAGAGTAAAAAAGCTACTTTAGACCCACAAAGCATGCATTAAAACGGCTGTTTTTGCTGCAGTATGACAACAAACTTATTGATCTAGACTCTATCAGTACCCTACAATTAGCCTAGGCCTAAGTGAAAATTAGGGTTACCGTACCTTTGTTTCCAAGACCACATTAAGCAAGGTAGTTGTACATGTCTTTCTGTCCATCAGTTCTGTCCAAGTATTCTTTCTCAATCAAAATGTCGATGCACTTCTTTATTGTTTGCACCTTTGGCTTAAATCTTGATGCAAGTTGCTGGAAGACTTCTGCTACAAGCTGTTGGTGCTGCAGTGTTTTGCGCATTTTCATGATTCTCACAATAGCTGCCTGAATAACCAACTTTCTATCCTCCTCAATATACTTATGTGTGATTTCTTCCGAGAGCTTTTGTTCCGATTTCATTGGGATATTGATGTTAACTCGCAACTTCTTGTTTTTGTATCCGGTGTTCAAGTTCATCACCGACTCAGCATCAATTTTACTTTCATCGAAGTCACAACTGACCAGTTTGGTTTTAAGTAAAATTTCTAGTACTTGCAGGAGGAACTCGACTCTAATTTGGGTTGATTCTGATAGCTGTTGAACTGTCCAGCTTTTACTTAAATTGAACTGAAGTAAGACAGCCATTTGGAATGTGGATGCCTGAAGTGTGTATCGGTTTTTGAAACAGTTTACGATCAATTCCCCTTTAGACATGTTGTATAACCAGTTTAGTTTACGTCCACTGTGCCGATTGCTGTAAAACGTTGTGAACCTGCTAACACTTCGCTCCAACTCTGTTGGGAGGGAAAAATTAAATGATTGTTGAAAGGGCCAAGATCCAGATGAAAGAACCTGAATACTAAAATCGATATCCAAATTTTCATTACTGTTTTCCATATGTCTACGAAACTGGTCATTGAGATCTTTAGAGACTCCGACATCTTGAAACATACGCTGAAGTTTGGACGTGTACTCAAACCCACAAGCTTGCTTTAGTTTTGATATCATAGATGCTTCCGCATCATCACTGGCTGACATGTGTTGCACAAGGCGTCTAGCAAGCATTTTGGAGTAAAACTTCTGAAACACATCCTTATCCTCAATGTACTTGAAGACAACCATTACCTGATTTAGAGTGTCTTCTAACTCAGCTTCTTCTGGATTTTTACTGGATTTCTTCAGAAGTAAGTCACAAAACTTGGCAAGCAATTCCGGAGATTTAGAGCTGGAATTCACAACTTTAGTTACAGCGTTGTTATTGATGAATCTTCCACAGGCCTTATCAAGAGCGGCAACAAAACCACTATCGTTAGAAAATGCTGACAATACTAAAGCATTGTATTTCTTGTGAACTTCAAGGATGGTACTTACATAAACCTTGGGATCATTGACAGCACTTTCACCACATCTTTCAATGGCTTCCAGACCTTGGTTAGCTATATGTACCTCTAACAAATTCCTCAACTCACTAAGTCCATCAGGGATTTTAGACACAAGTTCGTACATTCTTTGTAAATCATCATTCTTATCTGCATCTAACAGATGCTGAAACTCCAAATGGAAAATTTCTAGATGTTTTTCAATAAGTACAATTTCACATGTGCGCCGTAAAGGTACCAAAGTTGACTCATACAGGTAAACTTTAACTCTTTTCTCTTCTTCCAAGAGACGCTGTTCAGCTTTCTTAATGTATTCAGAGACAGAATTTTGCAATAAAAACTCAGAACTCTCTCTGCTGTAATATCTTTCAGTAGCTTCAAGAAACATGTTTTCAAAAGACTCTTTATATATCGTCAAGTTGGGACCTTTGGCAGCTGGATCATCTTCGTTGAGCCCCAACTCAACATAGCAACTGATCACTCCACTAACAAGTCTAGTATTGATGGTCTCTCCGTTCCGTTCCTTCTCAATCAACTTCAAAACTGCGCTGGTAACCTGCTTATCAAGCCTTTTGAATAGGTTTTCTTTCCAGGTCACAAGGGCCAGTTGGTAGATCACGTACATGTTCTTCCGGCCTTCATCACACTCTCGTCGAACCCAATGTCTATTCAAGTAAGAGCAAACTCCATCCAAGACCTTTGAACTGAATTGGTACTCGTCCCACTTAGTCGTGTAAAACTGCAGAACATCTTCGTCCATCAGGTCGATTCCATTTTCTAAAAGATTGACCAAATAGTTCCGAAGAAAATCTTTGAGTTTTTTGTACAATTCTTGACCTACAAATTGAGCCCCACCCTGACTGTTTGAACCACTTTTTTTTGTTTTTGCCGTTGGTCGAGATTGTTGCTGGTGAACACTAGTACAATAACTGTATACATGAGTGTAAAGTTCCATATAGCGACCTTTTGGCATATATTGTTGGTTGTAAACCTGTTCAATTCCACATTTAAGATCACCCCAAATTTGATCTAGGTCGACTGTTCTTAAGCCACAGTTGGCTACTTCTCTATTTGAACTCATGATCACAAATATGTTTAAAGGAAGTCAAATTAAAAACGACAGGCGATATCCAGGAAGAAAGACACAAAAGTAAAAATACAATAACCTTGCAAACATATCCTAGACGCACATTTCACAATAATTATAGTCAGTAGACATTTCGGATGTATTTATATGGCTTGCAAAAGAGGAAGAAGTTAAGATGTTTTAAAATGTTTCGAGAATTTTCGTTTTATAAGCACTTAAAATGTTTCATACAGGTACGAACATAGACAACACGAATTACTGAATCTACTATTATTTGGATTTATAATAATAATTATAGGAATTCCAATTTCCAATTCAGCACTCCTCATCAGCAGAACAATAAATTCAGTACATTACTACTTTAGTACAATTTTTTTCACTTCACCTTGATGGACTTGGACTAGACAAGGTATGGAGAGACGAGAGGCGGAGACTAGACTATTAAGGTTAAGCAAAGTGAACCAAGTAAGAAAGAATGTGACAAAGGTGGATATTCCGTTGAGTATACTTATATAGTATAAAAACATTGAACAATTGTAAAATTATAACAAAGACCAAAGTGTTTTTACTAACTTATTAGCCGTCAATATAAGGCGAACTAATTTTGACAATGAACTTCTTTGTACAGTAATCTTTTTTTTATTGAACCAAAAGTAGACACAATTACATGTATTGGTTACGTCAAAATAATATAATATACAATGGAATTTAACTTAGAATAATAAAATTAACTTAAACATAATCTTTACAAATCATTTTGTTTCGAAGGACAATAATTAAGAATCTAGCCGTCAGTCAGGAAGTCACGCCGCTGTAGTAGCATTTTTAAAAGAAATTAACTTTTTAACTTCCTTTGGAATTTCAGATGGTCTGAGATGTTGTCTGACTCTGCTTTTAGAGGCGTTGGAAGGTTGTTTAAGATAATTACCCAACCCGTCATGTTAAACTTCCCTATCCCATGCGTGATACGTAAAGTTCTTTACCTAACCCGCCATGTTAAACTTCCCTATCTCAAGCGTGATGTATACAACTTCCTTACTTCTCGAGTGATGTAAAGTATCAAAAACTCACTCGGTGATGTAATGAAACCCATTTAAATAACATTGAGTGATTAACTTAAAAAATATAACTCTATGGAGCCAACGACGTTCAACGCTAGAAATCAGCTGTGTGCTTGAATTTTATTGTTATGCTTTGAAGAATTTTCCTAACCTAGCTTTTGTTTGTAAATGAACGCTACCGTACCGTTAGAAGATGAGTGAAATGGATAATGAAGCATATTGCTCGTAACCTCCTGTATATTGTCGGGTCAGGTAAAATCTTGTACGTTACACGTTACGCAAGAGCGTGTTTACATCACTTCGGTGAATTATGCAACTCGCTTTCGCTCGTTGCACAACATTCACCTGCGTGATGTAAAAACGCTCTTACTACACTTGTAATGTAAATAGCTATTACTTCACAGGTGAAGTAAAGTTTGAAAAACTCACTAGTGAAGTAATGAAACCCGTTTGAATCACATTGAGTGCCCAACTTAAAAGAAATATACCTCAATGGAGCCAACTACGTTCAACGCTAGAAATCAGCTGTGCGCTTGAATTGTATTGTTATGCTTTAAAGAATTTTAATTGTCCTAACCTAGCTTTTGTTTGTAAAAGAACGTTACTGTTAGTACATGAGTGAAATGGATAAAATGAAAAATAGTGTGCGTAACCCCCTGTATATTGTCGGTTCAGGTAAAATCTTGTACGTTATACCATGGATAAAACTATGTTTTATCTATGGTTATACTTATACACGTTACCATAGATAAAACGTACTTGTTTTACCTATGATGTTATACAAGAGCGTGTTTCTCTTTATCGTCTGGCTCTTATTTTTATTCGATTCTGCATCAAAAATAAACAAAAAAAGGTGTTACATGCCTATATTTCGTCAAAATTTAATTTTCAGTGTATCAAACCTTTTATGGACTCTTTAGATTCTTAATTATTATGACAAAAGGAAAGTCTTCAACAAGTTTCATCAACGGACCATCTTTTTTTATTACATGCCTATTTTACCTGTAATAATACTGGTAGAATGGGCAACGTCGCAAGTAGGGTTGTCGTGGTTTAGTGTCATACGTCTCCCTATCCACTCCCGAACCACGGCCACCTTTAACCCAAGCCGCGGCCTTCCATGTTGCAACGTCGCAAGTAATTTAAATTTAAATCAATAAAGTGTGAATTGATTAGCTGATGTCACCTGTCTGCCATGTTTTCTAATGGGAAATCTGACACTAAACAACTCTACTTGTGACGTTGCCGATTCTACCAGGCCGCGGCCTGGAGTTAAAAGTGGCCGTGCCGGAACCCACTTGCGTTTATTCTTCTTCTTGATTTTTGCACAGACATTTTCCTCAGCACAGTAATTTATTCTACACAACCAGACTGAAGTATCCGCTACAACTCGCTATGTGTGACTGGAGGGGTAGCGGATTTTTATCCCCCTGGAATTTTACCCCCTGGGCAAACGTGACGTCACAAACCAGGGGGTGAAATTCCGGCCGCGAACTTTTGAGTTTCGCGACATCAGCTCGATGGATTAAACGCGGAATTAAACATAGAATTTTACCCCCTGGCCAGATATATAAATTAGTGAGAATGATTAATCATCTTCATTCAGTTTTAAATTAATAGTTAGCATTTTATTATTAAGTAGCCTATCTTAATTTATTTGCAACATTTTTAATTTTAATGTTGAGATTCGAGTATCAGGATTCGATCTTTGTAGTCAACTGTTGGTTAATATTGGTTAATATGATCAAAATAAATCAGTGAATTCTGTTTACTTAGTTGAGGTTACAAAATAAATAAATACCCTAAATTTAAAACTGAGTATTTATTTATTTATTTATTTAGTGTGAGTATTTATTTATTATTTAGGGTAAAGATAGGCTACTAAATAATGAAATGTTTACAATAATTAAAAACAGAAATAAGAAAATCAATCATTCAATTTTTAAAATCCGCCAGGGGGTAAAATTCCGGGGGGGTAAAAATCCGGGGGTAAAATTCTGGGGGTAAAAATCCGGGGGTAAAAATCCGGCCCGTACATCTTCAGTTGTCTAAACGCTAGTTATATGGACAGTGGGTAAAATTCCGGTTTTTATCGCTAATCTAATTAATCACGCTCTGACTATTTTCATTAGACTTCAAATCCGCGGGGGTGAAATTCCGACCGCGATCAAACTTTTGGCCACTCAGGTTACTACGTCATAGTGATGTCAGCTTTGCCCAGGGGGTAAAATTCCAGGGGGATAAAATTCCGGCGACCCTGACTGGAAGTGTTTTTGAAGCCTGCGAGTACGAGCACAGAAAACATACTGTTTTCTGTGGTACGAGTGGCAACTTAACGGCGACTAATAGCGACGAGTAAACTCGCCATGTGTGACATTGCACAAGAATATCCTTGGAATGTCCTGGGGATATCCTAGTGGGATATGGGGGATATCCTCTGTATACCCCGCAACCAGGATATCCTGGGTAACTCCCTGGGATATCCCTATGTCCACCCAAATCCTGATCCCTGGGATAATCCCACCAGGAAATTATATATGAAAACACAAAATAATAAATATTTAGTCTGAAAAGCACTTTTACCAGTTAAGTATTTCAATTAAATAGCCCATAAAAACAAATTTTGGAAAAAAATAGAAACAAAAATATTTTTGCCCAGACGAGTTTTGAACCGGGTACCTTTGACTTATGAAACTTTTACATCACCTCCTGAGCTATTTGTGATTGTCGATTTTACTAGTTTTCAAACGGTTAAAGAGGAGCCGACAGCTGAAATGGTCGCAATACTTTTTTACATTTTTGATACTATGATTCTGTTTAGGCATCAAGTTGTTAAATTGTTTTTCTGGGAGTTGTAGAGGATACTGTAATAAGAATATAGATTATAATTGTTGTATGATTAATTAATATTTCCCCTTCAATTTTCAACCAATAAATTTTCTCAGATAAGTTAGAATTTAAATTAAAAAGAAAATATTTGCATTATTACTATTGTAAGCAGGTGTATTATTATTATTATAAAATGGTAAAAAATTAGAGTTTGGTAGTTATTATGCCCTACGGGGATATCCTACGGATCTCCAAAGGATGTCCTATGGATATGATCGGAAAACATGATTAATTTTTATAAATCATTAGTAACGTTATTAGTTATTTTAATTCAAAATAGTATTGAGATCCTTTTTAATAACGTTTCTTAAGCACTTGTCACTTGAAAAAATACATCCAGTACTATAAAATATGTTTTAATACAGGTAGCCACCGAGAATATCCATAGGACGTCCCCAGGATATCCTCAAACTGCATTCGTGCAACATAGGTGTGCTATTCCCACATATTCTGACGTCACTCGGATTGCAAACAAAAGATCACCTGATTGTAACTGCCTGGACTCTGGAGTTAAAGGCGGCCGTGGCTAAGGTGGCTATAATGCCACCTGGCTCACCAGGCTGCCAAATGGATGTTCAAAGGTGGCTTAAGCTTGACGTCTGTCTGCGGGCGGATTCGGTCTGGTCTGCTTCCTGCCTGGCGTGAAGGCCAGTGTTGCCACTTTTAGGGTAATTACCCTTTTTAGGGTAATTTACTGGTCTTAGGGTAAAGTTTAGGGTAATGGTAGATTTAGGGTAATTTTAGGGTAAAACTAAAAGTTGGGATAACAATGGAAATTTTACTAAAAACATGAAAAAAAACTTCAAAATTTGGCAAAAACGTTCATTACATACTATGGCCAAACCATCATATTCGATTCAACCGGTTTAAATCGATTGCTATGATGAATTTTTCATCAAATTATCCAAATCGATCTTATCAATAGTTGGGAAAATTATCTGTTTTAGAATGTATTCGATTCTATAACACGTTATAGGCCTAATAAAATATGAAATATTATTAATTACTGGGTTTGATATTTAATTATGTGATTAAATTGGTTTAAACTGGATTATTTTACAAATTGTGTCAAGAAATTACTACTACGTGAGTTATAGATTAAAGCTTTGGTGGTACCGTACTGTATTTTAAAGATATGATTGTCCAAAAACAGTAGTAATGGGTCGATACAGTAAAAAAAATACGATAGTTCTTGATTCGATATTTTTCGTTATACGATAGAGCTAATCAATATCAACATTTTGTTCTTCTTTCGGGTGGTTTTTTAGAATCGAGTATAATTTTACGTAAATTGATTGATATTGGAACTTCATTTAGTATAATTAACCACTTTATGTAAGATTTATATGATTTTAACAATGTTTTATAGCATTAAACGCAAATATTAACATTTAGGGTAGTTTTTAGGGTAACAAGTAGATTTAGGGTAATTTTAGCCCGCATTTAGGGTAAAATCGCAACAACGTGGTGGCAACACTGGTGAAGGCTGAACCATTGAATCGTCTGCAGTCTGCACTGCACTGCACTCACTGACTGCACTCTCTACTACAATAATAAAAACCATACCACTCTGACTCTGCGTCAGTATCTCTCTTATAGACTCTTATAAGTCTTAAGACTCTCTCTCTCTCGCGTCTGTCGTCTTGTCTTGTGTCAAATTCTATGTTATCAACCTATTATAATACTAATTTCCTAGAAGCATTTTTTCTGTGTGTTAATACTGTCTTGTTTTATTGATTCGCACCCACTCTAGGATTCTTGTTTTAGTTTTTAACTTGATAGTGATTTTTTATTTAATTAAATTAGGCCTATTCATTGACTTTTCTATTTCTAGGTTGCTTCAATTTGTTAAAATGGCAGCATTCCCTGCTGTTGCCACGGTGATTGGAGTTAGGTACGTTACATACATCTAAGATTTTATAGGAATAAGCCTAAGATGTGTTTTGGGGCCTGCTTACTTGCAAGTGTAACAACATTAGGCCCATTAGAAATATTTATAATTTTAAGATATTACCATTTTATTTGTAACTAGGACTAGGCCTAGGAATATTTAGTACGCAGAGGATACGCAGGGTACAGTTTCTTAACTGGGCTATGCTAATATCGATTGAAACTATCGATTCGATTAGTAAACCTTCATGCCATTTTTTCACCGTCAGCAAGTTTGGTTGGTTAGGTTAGGTTATGATAGTTTAATTTTATAATAGATATATTTTAAAATATTGATTATTAATCAATATTTCCAATTCGATAGTTTCAATCGAGGCTGCACTTTACTTGATGTCCTACACTCATTCGATTGGTTTTTCCGATTCGATATTTTCATTCGATTCTTTCATTCGATATATTGTTTGGTTAGTTAGGTTAGGTTAACCTTACCTAACTAACCAAACGATATATCGAATGAAGCAATCGATATATCGATCGATATTTTCATTCGAATGAGTGTAGGACGTCAAGTAAAGTGCAGCCTCAATCGATATTAGCAGAGCCCAGTTAAGAAACTGTACCCAATACGCATCCGGTAACCGGACAGGCGTCCGATAGTTACTGTCATAACCTAACCAAACTTGCTGATAATGAACAAATCGAATGAAGGTTAAATTCTGTTCATAAATTAGGCCTTCTGTCTTAGATTAAATTTTACATGTATCCTTATCGTCACATTGTTCATTGGTCTTGCATTGTTACATACTTAGTTTTAGTAAGTAGCCTATTTGGGTACAGTTTCTTAAGTTAACTGGGCTATTCTAATATCGATTGAAACTATCGATTCGATTAGTAAACCTTCATGCAATCAGCAATCTTTTCACAATCAGCAAGTTTGGTTGGTTAGGTTAGGTTATGATAGTTTAATTTTATGGCAAATATTTACCGTATTTACATTGGGATATGATGTAATTTTTATATGTCTACTTACAGTATTTTTAACGCTGAATCCGAAAATGCAATCTGATTTTGTCGGAGATATTCCTAAGTGGCCGTAGTGGCCGTAAAACGAAGGTTAGGATTACGAATCTAAGGATAATTGAGAGGTACTGAAGGTGGTAGGCTAATGGTAATATGGCGTGGTCTGGACTGGACGGGTCCGTACTGAGTGAAGAGTGAGGAGTGAGGACTGAGTGAGAAGAGCAAACAACTGTTTATAATTGATCTAATGCGGAATGAAATCAAATCAATTCGTTTTGAAACCAAATAATCAGTTCTTATTTAGGCATGTGAGGAAGGTAGGTCGGGTTTTATGCGGATTCGTGACTGTATTAAGTGTTTTGAAGTGAGGTTAGATTAGGAAAGTAAAGGTTAGGTTATAATGAACCGACTCATTAATTTATGCAACTTCCAGACTGTTTTTGCACAATTAAATAGTGGGTGAAACACAATTAAATAACGATATCAAAAATGCGCAAGCCCCATCATTTCAGATTAAGTTACTTTTTAAGCTGAACTCAATTCCATGATCCGTTTTTCATTTTTATATTTTGGTTTTGAAATATTGACATTTTTTACAAAAAAAATTCAATATATAATAAATAAAACTTGATTTCAAAAAATGGATTGCGCCATTGAGTTTAGCTTAAAAATGTACTGTAGTTCGAAATGATGGGTCACAACACACCCTTCATATTTAAAATAATTTATCACATATGACGTAGGCCTATACATAGGCTGATGTGTTGACTTTGTCAATGATTTGTAAAAATCCAAAAGACAAATAGTTACAGACCGTTTCACCGTGCTTGGTGTGTAGGGGAGGCACTGCGAGAGAGACAGAAAATACAAAAACGTAAACATAAAGCAAACTAATTTGACAGCTGATGCTAGTTCCCCATTTCAGTATTTGAACGTGACTGTACCGTACATCGAGGCGTAGTGGGGGAAAGCTCTCAGTGCGCATGCTCCAGCGAGGCGCCACGCACCGTGACACTATCTGTAATTTGATATGATTTGATTTGATTTCAAAATGGCGGATCCAAGATGGCGGCTGAAAAAAATACATCCGTCATAACCAAGTGAAAATAGGTCGACAATGACTGGTAGTGTATTATATTTATCTTTATCTAGCACTATTTTGAGATTATGGTCTTAGTTTGTAAATGCACAATGTTAAAATGGGCTAAAAATAAAGTTTTATAAAACCCTCATAACTTTGGAATGAACCAAGATTTTTTTAACGGTTTGCGGCATTGTAATCAGGGTAGAAATGTAGTTTGAAATAATGGGTCATAACCCCACCTTTACATTTGAAAAAAATATTTTGCATCCTTATGGATCCAAGATGGCGGCCGGAAATGACCACCTTGTCAAAATTAACTACTTACTACCCAACAATGTTTGGAAGTAGTCTGGGATTGATATTTGAAAAAATGTAGAAAAAAGTTGGGGGGGGGGACAATTAAAACTCACCCTTTTATTTGTTTTAGTTTTATTTGTTTAGTTTTAGTGACTTTTGCCCTGTACATTTATGTATTATTATGGCAATAAAAAATTCTGATTCTGATTCCCTGTATATTGCAAAGAGGTGCTGATTAGTTGTGCCTAGGGCGTAGACAGGGTCAAAAACTGGCCTAAAGCGGGTCTCACAGGCTCAGGGTTTCAGTTAGCGTCAGCCTGGGTAGGGTTTCGGTAGTGTTTAGACAATTTCTATAATCCAGTGTTTTATTTAAGCTAAAACAATGTTACAATGGGTTAGAAAACACTTTAAACTGAACAACTGAAGTTACTAAAGCTTTTTACAGCCCTGAATTATTTTATGGAACCATTTCGGTTAACCCGAATTTGGTTAACAGGGTTTCTGTGTACCGCTGGGGGACTTGGCGGGGCGGAACGCTGCCGCGTTCCTTAATAGATGTGCAATTTACAAACCGATAGATGTAAAATTTACGAAATCAAATAAATCGTCAAAAATCAACAACTATTTGCTCTCCTCATAGCTTTCACTTCTTCTACTATTAGTCACCGTAACAACTAAACTTTTCTAACCTGCCATTGTAACCATTTTATTTATTCTCAAACTTTGATCCCAGATTCTTAATAGTAGGCCAAAGTTTTACTTCAAAAATAGGGCTATTTTGGGCCAAACATTAGAAATTTAGGATTCATAAAAAACAATTGTTTTAGCATAGAATAAATAAACACCACTTACTTTTTTATGCTGAACTCAATGCTGCAATCCGTTTTTCATTTGCATCTTTGGATTTTGAAATATTGAAATTTTAAATAAGAGTATTTTAATATTTCATCAAGAAAGCTTGATAACCAAAAACGGATTGCAGCATTGAGTCCAGTATAAAAAAGTAGTTCAAAATGATGGGTCACAACACCACCTTCATATTTAAATTAATTGATCACATTTCAAAATGGCGGATCCAAGATGGCGGCTGAAAAAAGTACATCCGTCATAACCAAGTGAAAATATGTCGACAACGAATGGTGGTGTATACTTATCTTTATCTAGCACTATTTTGAGATTATGGTCTTAGTTTGTAAATGCACAATGTTAAAATGCGCTAAAAATAAAGTTATAAAAAGTCCTCATAACTTTAGAACGAATCATGATTTTTAAAAACTAATTGCGGCATTGTAATCAGCGTAAAATTCTAGTTTGAAATAATGGGTCACAACCCTACCTTTACATTTGAAAAAAAACTTTGTATCCAATATGGCGGATCCAAGATGGCGGCCAAAAATGTATACCTAGTCAAAATGAAGTACTTACTACTAAACAATGATCTGACGTGGTCCGGAGATGATATCTTAAGAAATGTAGAAAAAAGTAGGGGGGGAACTCATTTAAAATTCACCCTGTATATTGCACAGTAAAGTTTCTGTAAGTTTTCGGTTTTAAACTAAAGATTTTTTGCCCCAAAGTAGAAAACTAGTTGGGGACTTGTTAACTTGTTTTAACTGATTCCTTTGACTCATGAAGCATTAAAACCTCATTGTGTTGGTTAAATCTTATTTAATTCACTCATTGGTTCAACCCTCTTCCCAAGGGATTCTTGCCCTTTCATATCTTCTGAATCCACTTATTGCATCATTCATCCTTATTCCCCAACCCTTTACCTTGTTGTTTTTTTTACTTATAAAACACCAGCCGCTTTTATTGTTTGGTCGAAGTCTAGTTAACTTATTTTTCATTTGCAGTAAAGAAATAGCTGAGAGTGGTCCACTGTTGGCCACTCTGGCCATGGATCCTGGGTTGATGGTACAGCCTCCTGCTCCTCCTATGAACCTGCCTGAAGAGACGGAAGTGGAGATCAAAGCCAGTGACCCTGTCACTCAGGCGGTTGTTGACAACATTATAGGAAAACTTCCAACAACGAAAGAACAGGCAATGGATTGTTAACGTATTCAATTATCATAATTTTTTATCATAATCATTAATGACTGGGATGGGTGGCGTCGTCCTGTAATCCAGCTACTAGGAGGTCACAAATTGTGGATATTTATAGGCATGCACTGTGGATGCGATACTCTCTGGTGTGGATTAACGTCCGCACCAGTGAGTACTACGACTATCCGCAGTACTATCCTGATAATTAGACCAATTCGTAAATACCAAGGCAAAAATGTGGTTCGGATTCCACTATAAACTGTAGGTCCCTTAGTTGCCATTAGCTGTATGGGCTATTAATTAACAGATGTGTCTAAGGAATGTCGGCCTTAGTCACTAACAAGACTACAAGATCTAGCCACTCATCCTACACTCATCTCCATTCATACTTGGCTTAAAATACCTACTTTGTATGGTCACCATTTCATAGAATAGTAAAGTATAATATAGTACCTATGTTATTTTACCTTACCTGCAATTGGTAAGTTAAGCATTCAGCTTGAGTAATTTTTTATGAGATTTGCTTATGCAAACATTTGAAAGATTGTAAATACATACATATTAACTTATACACCCTAAACTCTAGGGATTCTGCAAATCTACAGGAAAATATCTTTTATTTGGTACTAACCGCGTGTAATTTGGTCCAGTAGTATGGTCAGGCTAGCTGTCATAAGTTTTGCAAAACTTTTTTAGTACGGTAATAAGATAAATAAATAAATGCATTTATATGTAAACATAGGGAAAGCATTCAAACTAATTATTTTGCATTTAAATATTTATATCTGTGTTCTGATAAGAAACAATGTTCTGTGCCCCTTTCTAGCTTACATAAAGTCAAACAGGACATTTACTCACTTGGTCACTGACTACCTAGTAAGAGAGAAAGACAATTTGCCTTAGGAGTGCTCAGACAGTTGCTCGGCCCTTTATGTTCCCTATTTTCCACCATGATAAGATTAATTAAAAGTAATTGATTTGAAATTTCCCTTCAAGAAGCCCTTCTTACAAACCATGTTTAGTTAAATAATCAGAAGTCTTATTTACTTTAAAAAATCCAAGGTGTTCATTTCTTACAATAGGCCTATTAGAATTCTTTAAAATTTTGTATTTATTGGTAACTTATAGGTAGGCCTAGGTTCTTGATCTAAACCAGCTTGACCAAAGTTTAACCGTTGCCAATTATGATTTCTTATAAAGAATAATTATGTTAGTACCTAGTAATGCCTGAAAAAAAAAAATAGGCGATAACAAAAGCCATGCTCTTTTCATCACAGTTTTAAACAATTTAAAATACAAATGATTTTAATTCACATCTAGCCATAAGGATTTACCATGTAACACTAGTATATTTTTACAGGTCAGACTGAAATGTGAAGTTTGTAATATTGAAGTTTCTGGTCCTGAAATTCTTCAAATTCATTATGCTGGTTCTAAGCATGCTAAAAAGGTAAGTGTATTTTGGCTGTTTTCTTTTCTTTCAAATATGTTTTGTATTATTACTTCCAGAAAATTAAAACAAAATTACTCACGAGTTGTAGTGCTACTGGACTCAAGCAGACCTTGTATGGTCCAACCAATTCCTAAAAAGAACTTGCGCAATGTCTCAGAAATAGAATATAAATTATTTAATATCGTAGATACACAAGCTGTATCTCTATCACAGCCATTTTTATGAAAACTAACTAATTTAACATGTGCTACGAGTTTATACAGACGAATAAAGAATCACGGGAGAACTCGCCACTCAAGCCTTATGGGCACAAGTAGGGTTAATTAATTTCAATTTATATTATAATAGTCAATGAATAGTCATTTATTCCATCTTTAAACAATACAATATTGTAATTTATTTCGTCAAAGAATCCTTAAACTAATACACAAAATTATCACAGTAGCTATAAATTATATCACAGATTGAGATTGGATGCATTAAATTAATTGTAAACATGAAAACGACCAATATTAGACATGGCTACACAGTGTAAATTATTGATTCTAAGATAGAGTTTTTAACAACTAAAAGATGACAATAAAAAATAATTCTTTTGGAATTCTAATAATAATCAACAAAGATAAAAACGTTTATCAATCTGCAAAATTAATGACTTATAAAACTATATTTCCATGTTTAAAAAATTCTTTGGTACTGTAAAAGGGGTTTGCAGAAAGCCAGACAGACAATTTCTTTTTGAAAACCTTAAAAAGGAAGTGATCTTGATTCACAATTCAGGTTGTTAAAAAACCTAATTTCTGACACAAAATGACTTTTGACAGTTTAATAACTAATTGATTAGTCCTATGATGGTAATTTAAATCCCTAACCCCTTGTCCCTCCATTCCTGAAAAAAGAATTAGTACATATTTAAATTATAACTAACAGATAGGACTTATGTGTATGTAGTGCCAACGCCCAATGGTGAGTATTTATCGATCGACGACCTGCCTGCGACTGCCCTATGCCTTGTCATACTCTAGCTCATTCCCTCTGTTGGGTAACAGACTATGACGTGGTCAATTTTGTGTGTCTATTCTATTCTACTTGGTTGCGGACCTGATGTGATTTAATCGTCACAGATTTATAGTTTTTTTTTTTCTCGTGGCGTAAGTAAGAAAGTTAAAAAACTTAGAGAAAATTATTATTTCGTTACATAATTAGATTTGATTATATTATGTGATAACTGTAGGGAAAATTTAATCTGTGAGCAAAGTAGGCCTATCTGGTACACTCAAGGAACTAAGTGATATTCTTGAAGAAAAGCTCAACTTTGCGCTCTAGTTACACAAATAACTAATTTATAGGTCTACTTCAAAATTGATCTTTTTACTTAGAAGGTAACATAACAATGTTTTTTCTATTCTGTAGCTGAAAGCTCAGGAGCTGATAAAGGAGATTGCTAACTCTCCCAACTCTGTGTTTGTTTTGGCGAACCCCTCAGAAGGCTCTGTCCCCAACACTAAAGAGTTCTCGTGCAAGATATGTAATGTAAGGCTCAACTCACACCTACAGCTGCAACAACATCTGTCAGGTATGACTCACTTTCACAAATACATAGGAATACATCAAGAAAGAAAGAATGAATACGTCCTTATCCTATTCCCTACCCTACTATTGTCTCTATCTTACCCAAGAAAAAAATTCCAGACAGTTGACAAATACAAGAAGAACACCATTACAGTAGACTCCCTCTTATCCAGACACCTTTTAACCGGACATCGGTTTAACTGGTCTACACTCGGCGTAAATGACATCTCTTTAACTGGACAATTTGTATCAGGACATCGGAATAACCGGACTAGATCGGCAGGAAGTGGGTGGTACTGAAACAACTGTTCTCGTGGGAAAGATTTGAAACCAGTGATCACGTGTGTAAATACAATGCTCTACTAAATTTAAGTCAAATACTGTATACAGTATGTATGCATTTAAATGGTACGTTTTAACGAGTTTTTGGGGACGTTGGTTTAACCGGAAAACCCGCTATCCGGACTGGCCTCGGTCCCGAGGAGTCCGGATAGGAGGGAGTCTACTGTAATTTGATATTTAGCTCTATATTGCCCACTTGTAGAGCGAAATATCAAATTAGTAGTACTTTTAGGCTTGGGTTTAGAAAGGGATGCGAACAGCTTTGCCCCCAATCCCATTACCTACCTTGGAATGTGAGGCCACCCCCCAGACAATTTTTAAAGCAGTTAAAAGAGTTTTAACACTATCTGGAGGCTAACACACTGATTAAAATTTGTGTTTGATGTTTTTTTTTCTAACTAATCAAATCAATACATTTGATTCCCAATATTCCGAAATAATTGGGATGGAACTTTGTTCGGATTAGTAAGAATTCTTATCAAGCGGATTTCTGTACTAATTGATTGTCGCAACCGCGTAAGATGATAACAATTTCATGTTAGCATCACCCTTACGTATTTAAAAACAATAATAATTCCCTAACTATAGTTTATATTAGGTGGATTTTTTAAATGGTAGGGTTCAGAATAGTGGGAATCTACTTAACCATATTTTTTTTTTTAATTGGGCACTCCTCAAAGTGTTGGCGCTTTGGACTATAGCCTAGTCGGAACATAAACAAAATATATAGCTGAGTAATAAAACTGTTCAAACTGTTGAGCCGTGACTATTTCCACCGGGCGAATGTCACGACTCATGATCAATGGTTCAAGTGTTTTTTTTATAGTAGGCTAGTTCAGTGTTTCTCACTCCACGACCCCGAACAAGGCTGTGGGTTTTGTTCTTATTACTCCCACCGCCGACGATTCAGAGGCTCCGAGACTTTCGTTAGCGCTGCATCGGCATAAATTTTGCATCGTCTTTCATCTTAATTTTGTAGTATGTTTGCGTTGTATTTTTGCCTTTTCCTTACTTGTGTGAAGATATTCTCTACTATGCAGTAAATTAAGAGCGCCCAGCGCGCTTGATGGGTAAGTTTGGACTATTTTCTGATACTTAGGTTAGAGCACATGTTGCACTAGGTCTGGAACCTAGTCTTGGGGTCGTGGAAGACTTTTGATAGTTAGTTTCCCTTTTCTCTGTGGTTTTGTATAATTCAGGGCTTTGCCCGAAATGCTAGGCCTAGAATTGACTGAGAAATGTTTGTTGGAAGGCCGCTATTTGAGAGAAACTGCCAAGTCAGTTTTGGGTCCTTCTGACTGTTTTGTGGTAGGCCTAGGCTTACAATTTTTGCTCAGTAAATGTAATTGTCTTAGGCTACTACTCTGGTAGTCTTTTGTTTCTGTGTCCCGTACTATTTTTAGTGTTGTTTTGTCTTGTAAAATGTTCAGTTTGTGTTACCCAGTCAAGTAAGGTTAAAGTCTTTTATTTTGCTTTGTCCTTGCCAAACTAGTTAAATTAAGTTGAATTAACTGCTCTTAAAGCTCCCCAGAAAGTTTGAGTCATTTTACTCAAGTTTTAAGAAAGTTACGGTAATTTTTAGTTTGGCAACTTTTCATGCAGGTTTGAACTGGGTAACCAATAGGCCAACTGGTTTCAGCCTTTGAGTTAAGGTTTGGGATGGTCTGGAGAAGCTGCTGGAACATTTCCCCCAGCTTTTAAGACCATTCCGAACAAATTCGGATCACAACTTTTGGAGAAATTAGCAAAAATACATGAGTCGTTGCGTTAGGCCTAAATTTTTGTATGGAACGTTTTTTGTCAATTTTAAAGTATTTTTCTGTGTTTAAGTGTCAATTGTTCTCTGTTAACTTGTTCTTCTGGCCACTTTGGACCAGGCAATTTAAATATTTTCTCTCTATTGGTGAAATTTATCACTGTCACATACCCGTCTAGCCTGCTGACACCTTTACCGCAAATATTAACGTTACCGTTCTTGTACTGTTTAACCTGTTAATTGTTATGTTTAAAATATTGTTATTGTTTGAAATGTTTTATATTGATAGAGAGCTGTGATAGAGAGACAAACCTTTTAAAAAATCTAGAAACTTGAAAATGATATGTTAGGCCTAAAGCAGTGAAATATTGGAACTAAATGTAAATGGTGAAAGATGTGACAGTGAACCTTGCGGATATGGACTCAGTCTATTACTCTTACTACTGTGTTTCCTGGGTTTTGTCACTCAGGGCCCGTGAGGAGGAACATGGAGTACCGGTAGTCTGCATCAGCCTTGGCGGAGTGGGAAATACAACTCTTGGCCACCCCTGGATCTTGGCCCCCCTCTTCCGTCATGCCTGCTTCCCCTCCGGTGCTGCTCGCCCAGAAACATGAACTAGTACCGCAAATTCCGCAAGTTTTAGGCCTAATTAATTATTGCTAACCACCGTCCTGGACTTGGAGATTTCGTTACCTATTTGTTAATTTGTGCACAGAGATTTATTAATTGTTTTTCTTTTTAAATTTTAAATTCTTTAGCCTAGGCTACTTGTTGATCTTTTTTAAATTTTATAATTTTATTAAATATTCTATTGAATTCTAATTTGGGGCCCCTAAAGTTTCTATAGTTACCAGATGAAATGAATTTATTAAAAGAGTCATTATATATATCATGTTGTAATTTGTTAATTTAAAGTTTTTTGAAAGGTAAAAGCTAGTAAGATTTATTTTTGAAATTTAGCCTATTTGAAAATGATTAATGAAATAATTGTAAGTTAGTAGGGTAAACGGGTATCAAAATTTTTAAAGTTTAATTGAGAGTATTTAATTCATGTATTATTGTTAATTATTGTTGTTGATGTTATTGTTGTGTTATTTTTTTTAAATGGTTAATTACAGCTCGTTTCTCTCAAATGGCGTGTTGTTCTTGAGCCTCCATCCATGGTTCTCATTTTGTTATGTAAAGTTTTGTGAGCCGCTCCTCGGGCCTGCGCATGGATCACGCTTCCTTTTCGTTAGTCTGGGTGCAGGCGCGAGGGCATGGTTCATCTGGTAGCAGAGCGTGGTTAGTGGGTTGCGTCCTGGGTGCCTTGTCGTGAAACTTGGTTTCACGACTCGGATACTTAGAGATGCGATCACTGTCCGCGTTCTGTTTTTTGTTTTGTTTTGAAGAGCCGTGGATGGATTGGTTTCTTGGAAATGTTCTGGCCTGGCAGTTTTGGAAAAAGGTCTTGTTGTTGTTGTGGTGGGGCGTAAACACATTTTTATTAGGAGCTCGCCCTTTGGCCGAGGCACCGGGTGGAATCGGTGGTAATGACTTGCATCCTTCGGGAGCAAGAGTGTCAAAAGCATGGTCATGTGTCAAAAAAAAAAAAAAAAAAAAAAAAAGGTTTGTGTGTACACCCCATCACACAAGTGTTAGGTGTTGTCTAGTGTATGTATCGGTGTATGTTTGTGTGTGTGTACGTTCGTGGGTCATTTGTTGTTGTTTTTTCTTGCGGTACTTGCGGTATGAATGGGCAGGTTCTTCTTTTGGGCCCCATCAGGTGCGTAGGCATCAACGTCCAGAAGCCTTAGGAATTAAATTTCTGTGTTTGTTTTGTGAAAAAATTTTGTTGGCTGTTATTTTGAGTCAAGTGCTGGTTGAGACTCGGTATGGCGTCAATTGTGCCGGAATATTTGAGGAAGCCGGAGCTGGTGTACGAGGTGCGGTCCCGGGGGGAGACTCCTGGAACTGATGTACGCACTTTGCGTACACAGTTCAGACAAATTGCTAGCATGCCTCAAGCTTGGGTTGAGTCGCTCAGTTTGGATGAGGAACTGGAGGCATGTAAAGAGAGGATGGAAGAGCTAAGTGGGGAAATTGATAGTTGGAGTAGTTTGCCTATGGGCTCAGCTAAGAGTTCGGCTATCACACAGCTGACGCACTGGCGTAAGCGTCTGCTCTTGGTTTCAGGGCAACCTGAAATCCAAGATGAGGACAAGAGCTGGGTGGAAGCCAGAATTCTTGAGCTGGAAGGAATTTTGGAGAGTATTAAGGCAGGAAAGTCTGTCAAGGAGAAAGTTGAAATTTTTGAAGACAACCGTTCTTCGGAAACTTCAAACGAAGTGCCAAAGTCTGTTGTTGAAGTTGTGGCTCCAGTGGGTACCCCCCAGGCTCCGCCTACGCCAAGTACACTGCTCCGGTTGCCTGCAAATGTTCAAATGTCAAATGCAAATGTCACACCGTCCCCCTCTCACACGTCCACCTTGGCTGCGGCTACGCTGAATGTCCAGTTCCCATCTCCCTTACCCTCTCAAGTCCATAGTTCCCCTTCCATCTCTAACTCCTTTGGCAAACTTCCCCATCCCCTTGCCTCTGTCCTGAGTGGTTTCCGGCCGGTGGACGGGTTAGATGTGAATGGTCTTTGTTTTTTCCTGGAGAGTGTTTTGCGCATGCGTGAATACCCTGGCATGTCAGACGCAACTTTGATGGAACTCATTGCTCCATACTGTCTGAAACCGTTGGGGGACAGATTGCTTGATTGTTTGCGCAGAGGCGTCACTTTTGATGTTTTTCATAAAGAAGTTTTGGAGCTTTTCATGCCCCGTCGGGTCATGGAGAAGCTGAAAGTTGAGAGAGTTTTTCGTCCTCAGCAGCCAGCCGAGTCTCTCAGCCAGTACGTGGGGGACATTCGCACGGTGGA